TGAATTAAAACTAATTTCTTCACTGTATTGTTAACTCAAAACTTTACTAATAAAGAGCATATCCTTTGCTTGGCAAAAATGCTTTTTAGCATGCTATTTACATTGTTTATTAATTTCTTTTTCATTTCTGGTAATAGGAAAAAGAGTAGGTTAAATGAATGGGTCATTTAAAGTTATTCCATATGTTTCATTTTGATCAGTGCTAAGCAGTCCTTCATTCTCACTGAGAAAGGATCCACTAAGGGTGAAAACTTTATCAAGTATTGTACTCTGTTGCTGATATAACAGCATAAGTGCTGCATCTCCTTAAAAGCATGCTCTTGTTAAATGAAGCAAGAGTCTCGTACCATATAACAAATGGCAAGTCATAAATCCAAATGACACACAAAACACTTGAGAAAATTTTGAGTAGCAAGAGCCCAAACCCAATTTCTACTCAAGTTAATTACTGACCAGGTGATAAATTGCCACATTCTCTGAAACTCCTGTCTAAACTTCAGTGATCATCTCTTTATTGGAAATGGTACATATGGAAATATGAAAGTATAGTGCTCTAATAAAGTAAAATTTAAATCATACAAGTTGGGCAAAAAACGTTCAACAGACTTTCCATTTATTGCAATTCCATCCCATACCATTTTGTTTCATAGCTGTATGCTAACAATGTCAGACATACCCACACAATTATATCTTTTCCTGACGTTCAGGATTGGCCTGAATTGCCAGACTTGTATCATCTTTCCAAGGGTCTGAGGCTACAAAATTATTACTGGTATTGACTGGTAAACCATTCAGCATGGTGATTATGTGTTAGCTTCTGAAACTGCAGCTGTATGCTTCAGCAGTGAAGATTGCTTTTTATTTTGAAACATACCATGCAATATTAAAGATAATGCTATAGAATTCTCTTAGAAAGTTCCTAGAAAGGTAAGTAAATCCTTATATTTCTTAATATCTGTCAGTTAGTGCAGAGGATCCTCTAAAGTCATTTTAGAAGATCTTTCCTGTAGAAAAGCCTGCACTCCAACACTTTTTGCCTAGCTCACTTCACATAGATACTCCTAAACGTTTTCCACTCCTCCCTGTTCTATGACTCCCTTTGACGTAACCTTCCTACGCCTTCCTTGGCTGGTTTAACTACCTTTATGAGTCACCTTTCATAAAGGTAGTTGGCTCCCTGCTTTTTTTTTTAAAACCTTCTTTGGCTTCTGCTGAAAGACCATCTATCCCTCGCACCTTCCTTTTTATTAAAGTTTGCAGTGAATTAATGGAAAATGCCAACGTTTTGAACTTTTTGCAGATATGACTATGGATGATGTTCGAGAATTCGAGAAAAATATGCATGAAAAAACCAACATTAAAGTTTGCAATCAACATTCATCTACTGTGGATGAAATAGAGAGCCATGCCAAATCAAGTGTATGTAGTTTTTTAAAACATATTGCCCACCCTCGCCTAATATGCACTCACAAATCAAAGAAGAATGGCCTTCTTTACATGATCCTGTTGCCACTGAAGTTAACAGGAGGTTTGACATTCAGTGGAATCGGAATCACTCCCTGTAGAGTGTAATCCTGCATTTTTTGCATCCCAAACGCCCACTGAGCTATGAGAGGATAGGGTCAGGTTCATAACTCCCCTTCTTCCAGGAGAACAAAATCCTCAAAGTTCTGTTGGGTGCACAAAAGAGGAATATTAGTAGGAGAAAGATCAAGCAATGTCAGGTTTGGCATCCAATTATTCTGATTGTTTCAAAGCCATGTCAGTGTTCAAATGTCATTTGTCAAACAGCCAGGAACATGGGGAGTGGAAAAGTTCTGTGGGGCTGCTGAAATTGTACCACTAAGAAAAAGGCTAACTGGGTTTTTCACTTGTCTTCAAGATCATTTGCAGTGTTGCCCTTGATAAGCTACAAACTAGGAGCCTGAAAGGAGATACAGTGACATTTCTGTTTTAAAATGTTGGTATTTCTGGCATCTCTAGTCCGGCATCTCTAGTCAAAATCCCATGGGAGTGAATAACAGCTTTGCCCAAATAACAATGTCGGGGCTAGTCGTTAAGGGCTATATCCTGAAGTCCTTACTCAGTCCTTATTCAATCAAAGCTTCCAATGACTTCAGAAGGACTTTCTCTCAATAAACAGTGAGGGCCTGATTCTTACACCAAATTTGCGCAGGCGCAACTCTAGATTTACATTGGTGAATTCCCATTGACTTTTCAGAGTTATTCCTGATGCCTACACCAGTAAGTGAGATCAGAATCAGCCTCGGACTAAAGACCCCAGGATTTGGCCCTATGGGCTTTTGGTAAAAAGCCTGTGGTGCTTATTCAACCCTTACTTAGGCAAAACTACCATTATGGTCAGGGCAGGATTTGGCCTTTATTACTAAAAAGAAAATGAGAGAATGAAGTCACATATTTCTGAGTCCTTTGCAGCTCTGGGTAAGGATTAGTTTTACTTGAGTGCATATCAGCATGGGGTAGGGTAACCAGATGTCCCGATTTTATAGGGACAGTACCAATATTCGGGGCTTTGTCTTATATAGGTGCCCTATTACCCCCACTCCCGTCCCAATTTTTCACACTTGCTATCTGGTCACCCTAGCATGGGGATGGATTTGAGGCAAGCATAGACTAAAAACCAAATATTAAGTTCAGGCAGGGTGAGTGCTCCCTTTCTGCCTCTGAAATTGCCAATATTGGGAGGAGCTCATGGTAGGACTTTCATTGGTCTGCCTTCCACTCTGATGGCATGTTATTGGGGAATCTTCCTCTCTACATCTCTCCCCATACTGAAGCCATGTTTTATTTTATTTTTCATTGTTAAAGGCCTGATCCAAAGCCCACTGAAGTCAATGAAAGGACGCCTATCTACTTCAGTGGGCTTTGGATCAGGCCCTAAGTGCAGAAACACTACTTGCAACATAACATAAGTTGAGCAAAATGTAAATCAGCAAAACAGGGCCAAATTCATCTCTGGTGTAAATGGGTGGGCTCCCTTGAGCTCATTAGCTTACCTCACCCATTTACCTCAAGTAAAGTCGGTTCAGAGGGGAGCAGGCAAATTGGCACTGAATGGGGGCTTTGATTATTTTATAGGATTCTACAATACAGCATAAAGCCTATTTCACACAACAGCGTCATGAAACATTCTACAGTCAAGGCTACATACACACGACTGTGTCACATTAAAATAAGGGGGTCACAGTGTATAGCTAGTATGTGGGGGTTTTTTCATTTTAACCAGATGGCATCCAACCATAAGGAGAAAATGAAGTAGGGTAGCTTATATTCCCTCCACTGTAGGAATACAATAAACTTTATTACAACATCCCTGGGTTATATAACTATGGGTATAACAAAGAGTGTATTTAGCCCCATAGCTCCATCCTCACATGGCTATGAGGACAGTTTTTCTCTCTCCTCCTACTGTGTGGGTTTTGAGTATCACATGGCATGTCGTTAATGTGCTGTTTAGTGTATGTCTGCATAGCAGCTGGGAGGTGTAGTTCCCAGCTTGGGTAGATGTACATGTGCCAGCACAGCTTGAGCTAGAACGCTAAAAAGATTGTGACCACAATGGCCTGGGCAGCAGCTTTGGCCAGTTGCCTGAATACAAACCCTGTGGGGTCAGGTGGGATTGTATCATGCAGCTAGCCCAAGCCACCACCCATGCTGCCACAGCCACAATGCTGTTTTTAGTGCAAGAGCTCGAGCCAAGCTAGCGCATTTACTTCTACATGAGCTAGGAACTACACCTCGCAGCTGCTGTGTGGACATACACTGTGTGAAGGAGCATAGGAGGCCAGTAGTAGTAATATAGACATACATCATAGCAATGCAAACAAACCCCTCTCCTGAGCTTTCTTTAAATATGCATCCTATGGATCTATCATCACTTATAATATAACCTCCAAAGAATGTTTATAAGGAAGTTTTACAGTACTTGAAACATATTTCTTACTGACTACATATGTTATAGTGCTGGGGACGGGAGCTGTGCAAAACTCAGTCATTTTGGTTTACAGGACCTTTGTGTGAGCCTGTTTTCTGTGCTGGTTCTGGTGGGTTTACATCCGCTAAGTTTCTTGCTGAGATTCCTTCAAATTAACCTACAAACTCAAAGTGAAACTCATCTGAAACAGCTGAATTTTGCTTTGAGTTGTAGCAATAAACCCCTGCATGACACTCCAAAAGCAATGCTAGGTTTGAAAAAAGATTTGCTGAACTTTTGCTGAACCTGCCCTGAATTCTGAGTTTGTACAGAAAAACTAGAAGAGTTACACCTGGTTTAGGATTTTATTAAAAAAAAAATTGTATTGCTATGTTTGGAACATGTTATTCTGGGCTTACTCTGCCCTCTTGTGGATTTGTGCAGTAGTGTCTATGTGACAGATACGTTTGCTCACCTCCGCATGAGAAGGCTTTCTCTAGTAACAGGGAAGCATTCTTTGGGCCTGATTCTCCATTACGTTGCACCTTGTGCAATCATTTACACTTGTGCAAAGTAGGTGTGTAATGCTACCAATTCTGATCTCATAATTCCACAGGTGTAAACAACTTCACAGAATTCAAAGCAGTGGAGAATGAGGCCTTTTGTGTGGGGAAGACCTTCCACACGAGCTCACATTTCCAGAAGTGGCCCTTCATTCTGTGTGCTTTCATTTTTGGATACCCAATTTGAGACACCTAGCTCCTGTTGTAAGACATGAAGCACTCTCTTCTGCCTAGGGACTCAATATGCTATGGGTGCTCAGCACTTCTAAAAATCAGGCCTAATGGTGTGTCAAACCAGGCACCTAAAATCAGTGACCTCTTATGAAAACTTTGGCCAGAGCTCCTATTAACTCTAGTGGAATTTCAATACATGAATCCTCACACTGGGATGAGAACACACCCTTTGGTTTTGATTTTGATGGCAATCGCTGCAATGGTGCTACTGAAATCATCTTTGAAATGGTTCTAACTTTCCATTTGTCTTTCTTTTCTTCTCATTAAAGACATGACAATGGATGAAGTCCGAGAATTTGAACGTGCAACTCAGGAAGCCACCAACGAGAAAATTGGGATTTTCCCACCTGCAATATCTATCTCTAACATTTCCCTGCCTTCGTCAACCCGTAGTGCTCCTTCTAGTGCTCCATCCACTCCTCTGTCCTCAGATGCTCCTGAATTCCTATCAGTTCCCAAAGACCGACCTCGGAAAAAATCTGCTCCAGAAACCCTCACACTTCCAGACCCAGAGAAAAAAGCACTTTAAATTTAACCTAGCATGTTTCCTTCTGACAAGCCATGTCTGCCAGAACAAGAGTAACTTAACATTTACAAAGCTCGGTGTGGTTGTTTGTTTGGATTTTTTAAACGATTTTACCGATCTAGAAAGATGATTTCTTTAACTCAGACTTGTTCCTTAAAATCCTTAAATAAGTGCATGTGAGAGAACATAGTTCATATATTCTGATTCCCAAAGTAAAGCTCAAAGCCATATGGCACATGCTATTAATGTGAAATTAAATAGTCTGAGAATAGCCTGCAATTGTGATTGGAAATGCTGTAGGTATTTAATAAAGCTGACAAGGATTTCTGAAGGGAACTAGTGTCAATTTAGGTGCAGGGTTAAGTTAAAGAGTTAAAAATCCAATTTTCTCCTATTATATCGGAATTTCTAAAAATTTTCTACTCTCAGGCTTATCATGTCTAATCATAAACCTTTGAACTGCTACTCATTGATACTTGAACACCAACAGCAATTATTCAAATTCAGATGTTGCTTAATATGACTCAGGATTTGGGGCCTAGCTAACACAAACTTTAAACTTTTTAAAACTAAATAACCAATGCACCAAGGCTCCATTTGTAATTAATAATACTGACTTTAAGGCCATTGAACTATTTATACCTTGCACAGAATTTATAAAAGATTCCACCCATTTCTTGTTTATATTGTATTTTACTAGTTCTCCCCAGTCCTCTTGTGATCTCTCAAGTATGTGCTGGTGTTTGTAACCCCTGCTCCAGATATAAAAAAGATGGAAACACAAGCAGCTAAATAGTTTAAAGAGTCCAAATAATGCAAGGGTCTGCTCCCAATGGAGCTGTCATCACTGCATTCCGGTCATTCATTCAAGTCCTATGAGCTCCTGTCTAATCACAATGAAACCAGCTTTCAGGGTCTGATCCAAATCCCACTGAAGCCAGTGGGAAGACTCCCATTGCCTTAAATGGGCTTTGGCTCAGGCCCTAAATAACCACTCGAGGGATTGTAAAAAAATCTGGAGTTTAACGAGGGAGGTCTTCTACTAAAGGGGGGGAAGAATGGTACTTAGTACATTTGGGGATACTTTAGGACAATCTCTTAAGATATGTGGGTACCTAATAAGGATAGTCTCCTGTACAGATTTCACTGTACTAATCAGCGCTGAATGTATATTATGCTATGGTGTTTTACCAGACGCAGAATAGTTGTTGGTTGAGCATGGATAGTGATTAACTAGGCCATGATGCTTTGGAACAGCACCTAGGAGTAAAGATTCTGAAAATAAACATTTTTTATATGTCCACCATTGGAAAGTTCTTTAAAGATCTTCAGTCACGACCTTTGCTCTGCCCTGATGTGTTACATAGGGTTACCATACGTCTGGATTTTCCCGGACATGTCCGGCTTTTTGGTCTTCAAATCCCCGTCTGGGAGGAATTTCCAAAAAGCCAAACATGTCCGGGAAAATAGGGAGGCATGGTAAGGGGACCCCGAGTGCGAGTGGCTGAAGCAAAACTTACAACTCCCGCGATCTGCCGGGGCACAGAGGCAGCGGGCAGCATCC